TAGCAACTGATATTTGAAATTTTACACTAATTTTTAAAACCTGCTCAGTCAACCTGACAACTATAGAGATTTTAATCAGTCAGGTAGAACAAAGACCAACTAATGGCTGAAGGTAGTCACATTTCCAACCGCAACAATGACAACATATTTTAAGTCTATGATGCCTTTAAGAAGGCACTGTTCAGCCTACTATGAAGCTTAAAATCATTCTCTCGCTTGTTCTCTGATTTCTTTTCTAACTATGATTAAGGTATATACTAAATCACACCAACCAATTCTCTTATCTATGATGGAATCCTATCATGATTCAGACCAAGTCTTACTTGTTTTATAAATATTTTATCTCTAAGTGGGTGGAGGTCATAATACAATGGCTAGGACCTAAAAATCTCATAAACCAATAATGACCTTTTAAAACTTTTCTTTTTTGTTGTTGTTTGTTTGTTTGTTTTTTGTTGCTATTGGGCATGTGTGCTCACTGGAGAGACAGAGACACACAGAGAGAGAAACCACCTCCCAGGAGGCACAGTAATCCCTTCTCCATCTCTCTTCTTGGGATTTTTGGGTACATACATACATGTGCCCAACATGTCTTTCAAGCTACCAGATCTGGAACTCAAACCATGGAGTCAGCTATATGGGATCCTGCTGCCTTGACCACCACACTGCTGGCTCCAAAGAAGTTTTTTGTAATAAATTTAAGATGTTAGTACTTTGTTAGTACTAAGTTCTCTTTAATTCAGATAATCAAGTCGACTAGCAATTCTGTCATAATTTTATTAGAAAGGTATTTTATTTGTTGACCAGAAATTTCATTGAAAGATATTTTGTTGGTTGAAACAAAGAAAGGAAAATAAGCCTTATAACAAATATTATTTAATATTTTACAAATGCTGGATTTTGATATATTATCAACATTTGCCTACTGGAATTGAAATACCTGTATCTTAATAACAAACTAGGTTTCAGAAGTTTGCTAAAAGCACAATGCATTATTGTACCTTAGTATCACACTTCCCACTTGTGGGCTTTATATCAAATTTACTCTATCACAAAACAAAAGATCTTAATCCTATACTCACAATAACCCTTCACACAGGCATATTCTTGGCACAAACCTGTGCAGAGACTTCCACGGTTATCAGCTGCTGCAGATTACCTTTGTTTAGAAAAAAAATGACTAGACCTTTAGCTCCTGCAATGATCTGTAGACTCCCAAAGCTGCATATTTCCAGCCACTTTTGAGTTGCATGCTGTAGCAAAACAGTCAGCACCTCTCAACAGATATTGCTGCAGAGAAAGATTTTAATTCGGCAGTCTCTTTCTGTGTTAGAAGCAGCACCATTTCCCCCTATGAACAAAACAGCTCAATGTAGCCAGCCAGCCATACAACTTAATAGATAATACATTATTTGGTGGACATTCCTTACATGTACTTCTTAGGGGACTTCTTTTGTTTGGGGGTGGGTGGGTAGAAGGAACACTCCTATGTTGATGCCAATCATTGTAGGACTTTCTTTTAAAACCTGAATTTTATTCTCAAAGGATTAAAAATAGAAATAAGAACCCTCTTATTTTGTGTGTCCCACTTCTAACACAATGTAGGCTATAGAGCTTCTATTACCACCTAAACTACTACATCACAAATATTATAATGCATACTTTTATGTTTCAGGAATTTTCATTAGAAGTATAATTTATTAATGTATATATCTGAACATACTTTTTTTTTTTTAAGAGGTTTTTGCTATAGGGCGCGTATGCTCGCCAGAAAGACTGAGAGAGACAGAGAGACAGAAAGCGAGAAATCACCCCCCAGGGGGGATGGTTATGCCACAATCCCTTCTCCTCCATTCTCCACTCAGAATCTTGGGCACACACGCACACGCGCCCAGCGTGAGTTTAAGCCACCAGGTCTGGGACTTGAACCATGGGAGTCCAGCAACATTTCTGTGTTAGAAGCAGCACCATTTCCCCCTATGAACAAAACAGCTCAATGTAGCCAGCCAGCCATACAACTTAATAGATAATACATTATTTGGTGGACATTCCTTACATGTACTTCTTAGGGGACTTCTTTTGTTTGGGGGTGGGTGGGTAGAAGGAACACTCCTATGTTGATGCCAATCATTGTAGGACTTTCTTTTAAAACCTGAATTTTATTCTCAAAGGATTAAAAATAGAAATAAGAACCCTCTTATTTTGTGTGTCCCACTTCTAACACAATGTAGGCTATAGAGCTTCTATTACCACCTAAACTACTACATCACAAATATTATAATGCATACTTTTATGTTTCAGGAATTTTCATTAGAAGTATAATTTATTAATGTATATATCTGAACATACTTTTTTTTTTTTAAGAGGTTTTTGCTATAGGGCGCGTATGCTCGCCAGAAAGACTGAGAGAGACAGAGAGACAGAAAGCGAGAAATCACCCCCCAGGGGGGATGGTTATGCCACAATCCCTTCTCCTCCATTCTCCACTCAGAATCTTGGGCACACACGCACACGCGCCCAGCGTGAGTTTAAGCCACCAGGTCTGGGACTTGAACCATGGGAGTCCAGCAACATAGCCATTACGCCAACTGCTGGTCCCACTGAATATACATTTATCTTTAAATTACATTAGCATACTATTTGGTATTTTAAGTGGAGAAGAAACACTATGTAATAAATAATGCATTTATCAATTCTAATCCTACTCATCAAGATTACTCAAGAACGATCACTTAGACTATCTTCTGATAGTGATAGTGTTCTCCCTGCAACATTTGCTGTAAAAAACCCTGGACATTGTGAGAGGTAAAAGCAGCATTCGTTTCACAAGCCACAGGAATAAATTTTACAAAAATTTTACCATGTAAACTAAAAGGAGGCTTAAAAATAATAATTGTCATTTAAATTAGTGTTTTTAAAAATCTTTGTTGATTAGTAATAATGAATACTTGGCTACAAATTTAGTCTAATTAAATTTCCCACTACTGTCAAGTCAAAGTAGCCACAGAATTACACTTTGTATAATAATATTAACCAGCCATGCACCTTGTAGAATACAGTGCTAGAGTCTTGCTTCTGATGGGTTCTTGCTTCCTAAACTTTCACTCAAAGTGTATTCAAATTAAAATGGAAAAAGTAAATTATTTTTCAACCATAAGATACTGATCTGGCCTATGCTTCATTATAAAATTATGCCTTATAAAGATGATATGGAACAAGGCACAAACTTTGCTGATTTTTAACTTAGCAAAATAGGCTTGGCATCTTAAGCTTATGTCAAAACGTAAGACTGGGCTTTCAGTGCAACATCAGATGTGAATTCTCCCTCTGCAGCATTATCACATGCGTCATCAATTACTGCCATGCCTAAGTCTAGCATCATGCCAGCACATTAAGACAGAAGGTACTATATGCAGTGTTCACTGGACCAGAAGGACAGAAATAAGAAGGGGAGGTGGGGGAGAAAGAAACCCTAGAGAAGAAATTAAAAAAAAGGCAGACCGTGCAATACAAACCAGATCATGGCTGCTTAGCTAATATGGGCCAACTGCTGTGGAAGAAAAATGTCGAACACCCCAAGTTGTGTAAATTTCTGTAAACATCTAAACACACACACAAACACACACAACACCAACCTAATTAGGAACATAAAAATATATGTTGATCCTTTACTATGTTACAGTTTTGAAAATGAAAGCTAAAAGTAAAATATCTGGATTCTCTAAATTGTTTTCTTATTTTCCTGAGGAAAAAGCTAGTAGTTTCTTAAAGGTTAAGGGGGGGGGCTGTCTTGACTATTGCAAGGATTAAGAGTTCCTCTGACATTTTTCCTATTGAAGTTTTATCAATAATTCACTGAAACTGTTACTAATGTTTATATTTGGGCACAAATATTAAATGCTGACAATAAATAATAAGTTTAGATGTTTTAACAATGTATTTTGCTATTTAAAAAAAAAAAAAAAGCAGGGTTTTTTCCCGGAGGGCCGGCAGATGACACAGTGGTTAAGGGTGCTGGACTCCTACATGGCCAACCACAGTTCAAGTCCTGGACCTGGTGGCTTGCTTTCTCACTTTCTGTCTCTCTTGCTCTCTCTCATCCTGTCCCTCTCTGGTCAAACTTAAATAAATAAATAAAATAAAATAAGCAGGGTTTTTAATATGAAAATAATGTTCAAAAATTAAGAAGATTTTTTTTCCGACCATAAGGTGCGTGTGCTTGCTGGCAACAAAAGAGAGGGAAAGTAAGAAGTCACCCCGCAGAGGGGATGGCCGCATCTCAATCTTCTCTTCCATTCTCCTCCTGGGATTTTGGGCATGCATGCACACATACCCGGTGTGAATGTCAAGCTGCAGCATCCAGGTTGAACCATGGTTGGCCATATGGGACTCCCACCACCTTAACTACCATACTACCTGCTGGTCCCAAGGAGATTTTTTAAAATTAAGAGCTAGATAAATAAAACTTATTCTGTTTATTGCTTGAAATCATTAATGTCCAAAACTAAGCAGTATGAGAAGAGAGAAGCAATCAACTTTTGACAAAAACCAGACACTTGTTAACCTAAAGAGACCAAGCTGACCATGTTTCACAGAGTCTGGTATATAAAACGCATTACTCCTCAACTGTCTCTAATGGAACATTTCATATGATGCCAGGAAAAGTAAAGCTATTAAAGGATCAAAATACATTTTACTCCTTTATCAATTAAAAAAACACTGAACTTTAATTTGTTATCTTTAACAAAATATCAATATGAGACAAAGGTATTTTTTATCAATATTCTAATTTGTTTCTAGATGTTTTGGACTGATTTCCCAACATAATGAATATTAGATTACATCCCAAACTCTATATTTGATTACTGTAGGGCATGCAAGAAAACAGCTCTAAACTGTACTATCAAGCTTTAAAAGTTTAACTTCAGTCACATCACGTATCACACGAACACTACCTAACTAACTGGCTAAGGCCCAAAATTAAGCACTGTTTATCTTACCGATTCTATAGGTTTGTCAAGTGATGCTTGTTCTATTTCCAAATGTCCTTCTTCATACTGATCAAAGTGATTACCCTGAAAAAAAAAAAACGAAAAAACTAGTTATTTCTCAAAAGCAAATGTCAAAATTATTTTTTAATATTGATTGATTGATTTAATTCCATATGTTATTATTATTTTTTAAAATTTGACCAGAGAGAGATGGGGGTGGGGGGTGGGGTGGAAGCAAGCAAGCCGCCAGGTCCAGGACTTGGTCACGTGGGAATCCAGCACCTTTAACCACCATGCCATCTGTCGGCCTCCTGTCAAAATTATTAACAGTTCAACCAAGCTAGAAGATATTTTTAACTTTTAATTATTCTTCAAGAGAAAACCAAAACTGTACCACGAATTCAGTCTTTAATAAATCTTTTTTAAAATTTATTACCGGGCCAGCAGGTTCCATGGTGGTTAAGGGAGTCGGACTCCCACATGGCCAACTGTGGTTCAAGTCCCCGACCTGATGGCTTGCTTTCTTACTTTCTCTCTCTCTCTGCCCAAACCCCAACCCCAGTCAAAATAAAATTTAAAAAGTTTAAAAATAATTTTTATTATGAGTTAAAGCATAGTAACCTTTTCCCAGTCAGGTGTTAAAATTTTTGACTAAAACACTATCAACCAGGCCAGCAGATGGCATGGAGGTTAGGGCAGCTGTATCCCACATGGCCGACTCCATGGCTTGAGTCTCAGACCTGGTGACTTGAAAAAAATCACATGAGACGTGTATGTGTGCACGTGTGTGCATGCCCAAAAATCTCAGGAGGAAAAGGAATGATTGTGGCATGGTCACTCCCCCAGGGGGTGATTTCTCACTTTCTCTCTCTCTGGCAAGTGCACATATCCTATAGTAAAACTAAAAACAAAAACCAAAAAACAAGACACTCAACCATTTGGGGAACTAACCTTTTTGGGAAGATTACAGAATCTTATAAACAAAGAGCTGTGCTTTTTTACTTTTATAAAAAATATTTTATTAAATTCTTTTTTTTTTTGAGAGAAAGGTATTTGCTATAGGGTGCATGCGCTGACCAGAAAGAGAGAGACAGAGACAGAAAGCGAGAAATCATCCCCCAGACGGGATGGCCACGCCACAATCCCTTCTCCATTCTCCTCTCAGGATCCTGGGCATGTACGCACACGCGCCCAACATGGATTTAAGCCACCGCGTCTGGGACTCGAACCGTGGTCAACTACATGGGAGTCCAGTGATATAGCCATTAAGCCACCTGCTGGTCCCTTAAATTTTTAATACTAAAAATAAGTCACAGTAGAAGAATGCAAATAAAATTTATATAATGTTGTTTATTGTTGACAACATTTAAACATTTTTTTCTTGGGGCTGGCATGTAGTGTGGTGATTGTTAAAGGCACTTGAACTCCCAACATGGCTGACCACGGTTCATGTCCTGGACCTGGCAGCTCACTTTCTCATTCTATCTCTCTCTCTATCTCACTCTGGTCAAATTAAAAGCAATAATAATGATAAATAAAATAAATGAAATAATTCTTTAAAATTTCTTATTTTGTATTATTATTATTTTAATTTGACCAGAGAGAGAGAGAGAGAGAAAGTGAGAAAGCAAGCCATCAGGTCTGGGACCTGAACCACAGTCAGCCATGTAGGAGTCCAGAGCCTTAACTGCTACACCGCTTGCTAGCCCCCACTGTCGACAACTTTTAACTAAAACCACTAAAGCATTAAACTTTAAATCAACTGCTACCTCTCTGGTTTTTGTTTTTTTATTGCCAGAGGGTACATGCATTCACCAAAGAGAAAGATAGAGAAAGCCCCCCTTGATGGGTGTGGTCACATCAGTTTTTTTTCCTCTCTCCATCTTGCTAGGATTTTGGACATGCACACATATATGCTTGGAGTATTTTTACAGCTGTCAGGGCCAAGATTCAAACTGCAGCCAGCCATGTGGGATCAGTGTTTAACCACTGTAATATTGTGCCAGTCCTTTTAAATTTTTTTTTTTTAACTACCTCCCAGTTTTTTTCTTTATTTTTCTTTTTTTTGGTTTTTGCTATAGGGTGTATGTGCTAGCTGGATGGAGACAGAGAAAGTGGGAGAGAGAGGAAAACTGAGAAATCACCTACCACGGGGTGGAGTAAAGTGGTGGGGTGGTGCTGTTGGCCATGCCACAATCCCTTCTCCTCTCGGGATTCTGGGCACACCTGCATGCCTGGCGTGTTTTTCAAGCATCCATGTCCGGGACTGGAACTGCCCACCTAGTCAGTCATGCGAGATCCAACTGCCTTCATTAACTACCATGCCACTCGTTGTCCCTGGTGATGATTTTTTGGATATAATACCTAAGGCACAATTCTTAAGTGAAAGAACTGATAAATTGACATCCTTAAAATTTAAAAATTCTTGGGACCAGCAGGTGGTCTGGTGGTTAAAGGCGCTCGACTCCCACACGGTTGACTGATTCAAGTCCTGGACCTGGCGGCTTACTTTCTCACTTTCGCTCTCTCACTCTGTCCTTCTCTGGTTAAATTAAAGTTAAATAAAATAATTTTTTAAAAATTTCAAAATTCTGCTTTGCAAGAGATACTGTCAAGAGAATGAGAAGCTAGTCTTGACAGTTTTCCTACAAAACCAAACATATTTTTACCATCCAATTCAGCAATCACACTCCTTAGTATTTACCCGAAGGAGATGAAAACGTACGCCTATACAAAAACCTGCACACAGTTGTTTACAGCAGCTTTATTCATAACTGCCAAAACTTGGTAGCAATAGGCACATAAACTTTGATAACAACCAAGCACTAAAAAAAGCTATCATACCACAAAAAGACATGGCTGAACCTTGAGAATATATTACAAAACGAAAGAAGTCAACTTGAAAAGACTACATATTCTATGTTTTCTAATACATGACATTCTAGAAAAGGCAGAACTACGGAAACAGTAAAAAGATCAATGGTTAATAGGTGCTTGGGATGAAGAAGGGATGAGTAGGTAGAGCACAGGGGATTTTTACGGCAGCGAAACTATTCTCAATGATACAATAAGGCTGGATACATGTCATTATATAGCTGTTCAAATCCAAAGACAATGCAACAACAAGAGTAAACCCTGAGACCAGCTCTGTGACCCAGAAGTAATACACTTCTCAAGAGAAGCTGGGTGGGTGCTAGCAAGTAGTGTGGTGGTCAAAGGCACTGGACTCCCACATGGCCAATGGTAGTTCAAGTCCCAGACCTGGAAGGTGGCTTACTGGCTTGCGTTCTCTCCCTCTCTCTCTCTCATGAGCACGCATGCCCTATAGCAAATTAAATAACAACAATAAATTAAATTAAATTTAAAAATCATTTAAAAGAGAGAGAAGGAGAGAAGCTGGATCCACATGATGACCACAGTTTGAATCCCCAGCTGCGTGGCCTGACACCTGAAGAGCACATGACCAAAATGCCCATGATCCAAAAGACTGCAGGAAATGGATTTGTGTATGACCAGATTCAGTGGTGGGTACTTCTCCCTTCCTCACCTTCTCTATCATGAATAATGGAATTAACAAAAAATTTAAATAAAGAATAGACACTAATGTAAACTATCTACATTGGTTGATAAGGATATGTCAATGTTGGCTCATCTTATTTTAAATTTTTGTTGTTTATTTTCATTTATTTCATGAGACAGAAAGAGAAAGAGAGAGACAGGCACCTCTAATAGGGTCTTCCTGCCACCATCTACCTCCAGTCTCAGTTGGCATGCTCAGGGAAGTCTCAGGACATGAACCCAGGGCCATTCCCATGTGGGTCCAATCTGTATTACCACCTGGCCTCAATGTTGGTTCATCTATTATAACAATGTATTATAACAAATGTGCAGGATACTGATAGTAGGCACCAAGGATTCTAAGAAGATGGATGGCTAGGGAAAGGAGGTCATAGCGCAATGAGACCCTACTGAGGATAACCCCTCATCTTGTGTGTGCGCATGCATTCTCTATCATAATATTAATATGTTAGGTTATCAGAAAAGTCATGATGCATTTTTACATGAAAAAAAAGTCATGACTTTTCCAACAACCCAATATATATACATAACTATAAAACAAATACATAATATAAGCCAGACAAAAAAGGTCCTAACATACAATAGGGTACATACAACACTCATGGGAAACTGAAATATTAAATTAGGTCTAAAATTAATATAACAATTATGACAATATCAACTAATTTTTTCTTTTAAAATTTTTTGGAGAGGAGCCGGCAGGTAGTGTGGTGGTTAAGGTGCCATACTCCCACATGGCCAACCACTTAGAGTCATGGACCTCGTGGCTTACTTTTTCACTTGCCCTTTCTCTGTCTCTCTCTCTGGTGAGTTACGTGTGCCCTACAGCAAATTTAATAATAATAATAATAATTAATTAATATAATTAAATAATTCTTTTAAAAAAATTCTTAGAGGGGTCTGCAGGTGGCATGGTGGTTAAGGTGCTGCATGCCCCACATGACTAACCACAGATCAAGTCCTAGATCCAGCGACTTGAAAATCATACTGGGTTTGAGTACGTGTGTGCCCACAAATTGTGAGAGAAGAATGGAGGAGAAAGGACAACGTGGCCATCCTCCCTGGGAGGTAGGGGTAATTTCACATTTTCCTTCTCTCTCTCTCACACAAGAGAAAAACATTAAAAACATTTTTTTTTAAACTGTCAACAACAAAGAGGAGTCTAAAGAGATAGGGCAAGTAAATATAATGTGGTATTCTATATGAGATCGTAGAACAGAAAAATGTCATTAGGGGAACACTAAGGAAATCTGAATGAAGTATGGACTTCAGTTAATAACAACATATCAAGGGGCTGGCAGGTGGCATCGTGGTTGAGGCACTAGACTCCCACATGGCCAACTGTGGTTCAAGACCTAGATCTAGTGCCCTAAAAATCACAACAAATAAATAAATGCATCTGTGCCCAAAGTCCCTAGAGAATGAAGAAATGGAGGAGCAGGATTTTGGCAAGGGCATGCCCCCCGACCCCTGGCAAATGCACATGCACTCAAGAAGTTAAAATAAAGTTTCTGGGACCTAGTAGATAGCACAACAGTTACATTGCTGGACTCTCATATGGTCAACCACAGTTTGAGTCCAGATCAGGTAGTTTGAAACTCAAGCAGGGTGCCATGTATATGCATGCCCAAAATCCCAGGAGAAGAGTGGAGGAGAAGGGATTATGGGGTAGCCATCCCTGCTTGGGGGTGATTTCTCACTTCCCTTCTCACTGTCGCTGTCTCCCCCTCCACCACAAAGAGCATGTGCCTTAAGGCAAAAACCTCTACCAAAAAAACCCCACAACAGAAAGTTTCAGTAAGGAGCCTGGCAGGTGGCATGGTAGTTAAAGGTGCTAGATTCCCAGCAGGTGGCGTCGTGGTTAAGGTGCTGGACACTCTCAGATGGTCAACCATAGTTCAAGTCCTGGACCAGGTGGCTTGCTTTCTCACTTTATCTCTCTCTCTCTTTCTGTGTCTCTCTCTGGTCAAATTAAAGTAAGTGAATGAATAAATGAAATTATGTAATTCTTTTTTAAAAAAAAAATAAAGACAATAAACAAAGTCCTTCTTGTTTGGAATAATCTTCAAGACATATTATTAGGTGGTGTGGTAGTTAAGGCACTGGACTCCCACATGCCAATCATAGTTCAAATCCCAGACCTAGAGGCTTACTTTCTCACTTTCCCTCTCTCTCTGGTCAAATTAAACAATAATAATAATAATTTTTCCCCTGGGGGGTGATTTCTCACTTTTTGCCTCTGGGGTGAGAACATACACCCTATAGCAAAATAAATAAATAAATACATAAATAAATAAACACCAAACCTCTCTACTAAACAATAATAAATTTTATTATTAATAAACATAAATAAAATTAAATAATTCTTTATTTGGCTTCTGCTTTTTCTTAAAGATTATTTTATTTCATCTTTATTTATTTTATTTTAATTTGAGCATAGGGGAACAGAGGAGAGTGGTGAGAAAGCAAGTAACCAGGTCTGAGACATGGAACTGTGGATGGTCATGTGGGAGGCCAGTGCCCTTAACCACCATGCCACCTGCCGACCCCAAATAATTCTTTTTTTTTTTTTGAGAGGTTTTTGCTATAGGGCGCGTGCACTCGCCAGTCAGAGAGAGAGAGACACAGAGACAGAAAGCGAGAAATCACCTCCCAGGGGGGAGGTGATCCCTTCTCCTCTCAGGATCTTGGGCACGCACGCACACGTGGCCGATGTGAGTTTTAAGCCACCGGGTTCGGAACACGAACCGCAGTCGACCACATGGGAGTCCAGCAACACCGCCATTACGCTAACTGCTGGTCCGCCAAATAATTCTTTTTTTAAGAATTATTTTATTTGATGGGACCAGCAATTAGCATAATGGCGGTGTCGCTGGACTCCCACGTGGTCGACCGTGGTTCGAGTCCCAGACTCGGTGGTTTAAAACTCACTCTGGGCGCGTGTGCATGTGTGCCCAAGATCCTGAGAGGAGAATGGAGGAGAAGGGATTGCGGCTTGGCCATCCCTCCTGGGGGTGATTTCTCACTTTCTGTCTCTCTGTCTGTCTCTGTCTGTCTGGCAAGCGCACGCGCCCTATAGCAAAAACCTCTTCAAAAAG